GTGTGTGTGTGTGTGTGTGTGTGTGTGTGTGTGTGTGTGTGTGTGTGCGCATTAAGACAGAACAGTGGTGCTAGTGAGATGTCAGCGCTGTTATTGTTACAGTCTAGTCTCGTGGCCCGAGGCTGTAGGACACAAAAACACACTGTCTGACTGGGCCCGTCCTCTGCACCCAGGCCGCTCTGTTGTCTTTTCCCATCATCCGTCTCGTCCTCGTCCACCATTCCACCCACCACCCCCACCCCCACCCGTCTAAAATCATTCAGAGGAAGGTCACATGGTTCAGTGAAGATTTGAAAGCAGCAGTGGAAAGATTTCAGGACAGCGTGAGCAACGCTGTCCACCACATCAGCCTTTAGATCGCTTGCTCGCTGGGTGGGGGCGTGTTGGGGGTGTCTGGATTGTTCTCGTTAGGGCGACTGTTACGGTTTAGTCAATGTAGGATAGAAAACATTAAGGTTTCAGTTCACACTATCGTTATCTAAGTATAGCAGGTTCATTTTTAGGAATATGTATTTATTTGAGAAACTTTCACCCTCTTCATTACAAAACGTTCTCCTACATTCCATCCATGCTCTACAGATGAGTGTACCGCATTATTACAGTAGATCATTGTTATTGGTATTAAAGCTGGTTAATATGGCTTGTAACTTACGGGGATTAGCTCGACCATCTTTTTACAAGTGGAGGCTGTTTCCCAACTCGACGTGGATATTTGATGTAATAGGCTGACGGTGTCCCTTCCTGTTTCCTCCATGTCTTCAGGTGGGGCAGGTGGAGCGACATCCTGGCTCACGGGCGCTTCAAGCGGCCCCTGAAGGAGGCCGACGTGGAGACGATCTGCAGGGCCCTGCTGGCTTACTGCCTGCTGCATTACCGCGGAGACGAGAACATCAAGAGCTTCATCTGGGACCTGATCACCCCGAGTGCAGACGGGACCACCAAGACGCTGACCAACCACTCTGGTAACACACACAGACACACACACACGTATACCTGATTCAGCTATAGACTCACTCTGTATGTACTGCGTAAGCACATATAGTCACACAGCCCCAACACTACATGTCACAGCTCAGAATGACTGCTGCAGAGGAGAAATCTCATGCAAGTCATCTCTTTAAAGTGATGTCTTGCCTAACGAGTTTTCATTGCTTACCAGAGCTGATTGTTGGAGAGAAAGTAGTGAGAAGAGTTGGCTGCTAGTTAGAATAATACCAGTGTGTTTAAGCTCAGTGAGTTGGCCGTTTAACAGGACTCTTGAGGATTCTTACCGAAACGGAGTGATTGTTTTTATGTTAGTGTATGATCCCTCAGCTATTGAAAAGTATAAAAACAGAGATAAATACCTGAGTTTTGGTGTAACGAAACAATACTATGACACTTAAATAAAAATTTAAAAAAATCTCGATAGTAAGATTTCCAGAAAACAATTCAAAGTTTTCAATTGTCTAAACCAGTGTTTAAACACTAACCTCAACGTGCAATATAGCGCTGACGAAAGAACACAAGAATAAAATGTAGTTAAATAGAATAAAGAAATCTCTTCATCACCGTCTCTTCCCATCTCTCTCTCAAACACACAACAGTGACACTCAGTCCGTCTCTGTCCCTCTTTTATCTCCTGGCTTGTGCTACTATAATGCTTTAAAGTTCGTGGGTCGGCACGTATGGACGTGGCCTTATTGGGCCTCATTTCACATCAGATTTGAAAACGCAGGTTGAACAATAAGGCCCATGGCCTTATTGTTCAACCTGCGTTTTTCATCAAATCTAATGTGAAATGAGACTAAATGGACAAAATGATTGACTTCATATAATCTGACTAAAAACAACATTTGGACAAGGGACTAAGACCAATTTAAAAAAAAAGTGACAAAATTTAGCGACAAAGCATTTTATCTAAAACTAGATTAAAATGATAAAAATACTTGAATGTGACGCATTTTCATCTGAAGAGTAAGACGCTGCCTAAGTTGACATTGGTCCAACCAAAAGAAGCTGCTCAAGAGGAACCTCGTCCAAACAAGACTAGCTTATTGTTATTATTATTATTATTATTATTACTACTATAACATTATAGATCCCTGAAGCCAGCAGTGTTTTGTCTTGTGTTGTGGATTCTGCTGTTCAGGAACGAGGTTTACAGGTTGTCATTTCGTAGAAGTACCCTACCATTGTCTGAGCACCTTGTCCCCCTCCCCCCAGGTCTCTCCACTCCAGTCCCTCGGGGCAGGAAGGGCAAGAAGGGGAAGCCCCTAGCCCCGCCTCCGCAGACGCCGCGAGCCGATTGGCTGGCCAGCTGCAACCCCGACCACTTACTGCAAGAGGATAGCTACAAGAGACACCTGAAACACCACTGTAACAAGTAGGGCCTCCTCATTCTACACACTCCACACACACTGCAGGGGCCCAGTAACAGTTTATAAAAGGGTTATTAGGCTATGGATACCGAGCTAATGTGGACGGAGCCATGGTTTTAACACACACGCACTCACACGCTGGATCGCTGCCCTTGGTCAGCTCTCTCTCCTCTGTTGTCAGGGCGATAGGCCTCAATCCCAAGATTTTGTTTCTTCTTCTTGAGGGGGAAGTTTGTGTGTGTGTGTGTGTGTGTGTGTGTGTGTGTGTGTCTGGCTGTGTGCCAGGCCAGGTGCTAGGCAGGCAGACCTGTTGGAAGTGGGTGAAAGAACGCACTTACGCACGCACACACACACACACACACACACACACACACACACACACTTGGGGGTGATTATGTGGTGCCATCTGCTAGGCTGGAGCACAGCGTTGTGTGGCTAATCAGGCCTGGCACATTGATGGATGAGCTCACACAGCCTGCCAACAAACACACACACACACACACGGCAAGTTGTGATGCCATTGATGCACAAACACACACTCACACTGCAGAGTGGCTTTTATACCCTCCCCCCGTCTTCGCTGCCTCTCCAAAACTTTCTGTCCCCTCCAGCAACGCCGCTCTCTGTCCTTTCAGTTATTTTCCTCACTGCCCCTCACCCCCGCCCCTCCTCGTCCGTCCGTTATTGGCATTAAATCCTGGTGACAAATGTTTACAGTGAAGGCACGTCTCCCAGTTAGCAGCGTTTCCAGCGTCAGGAGATCAGATCGGACTCTCATTCTTGAGCCGTGGCTGAAGTGATCAGTTTTGCTGGGGGGAGGGTGCTGGAAGAATATAACTCTGACCGGGAACATCCGTGGTTCGTATCCAGAGAAGGCCATCTATTAGGCAGCAGTTGTAGAAGCAGTAATGTATGATTCTGCAGCCGGTATTTCAGCTGCAGAGTTGTAGCTCACTGAGCTACTTCTGCTTCTTTACAGCTCGTCCTCCAGTTGAGTCAGGTGATGAAATCTCCCATATCGGAGGCTTTATATGGAAATGTTACGAATAACAAGTGGGGAAATACGTTTTTGCAAAATAATTGCATTCTATCAATGATTCTCAAAGTGGAGTCTGTGAAAAGTTTTCACATTCATTCATTTTAAACTATTATTTATTTTTTAACAAATGCTTCATAGTTCAACTAATAATATTTACATTTTTAAAGATGTAAAGATTAGTTTCATTACAATCAATTCATTGATTAATAATTTTCTCTACTCATGTCCACACTACTCCGTTTCCATTTGAAAACGCATGTTTTGCTACGTTTACACTGAGCGTCCACACTACGCTGGCGTTTTTGAGCACCGAAAACGGAGGAGTTCGAAAACACTCCCGAGGTCGGTTAAGTTTGAAAACTCCGGGGTTGCGTTTTCGTGTGGCCGGTCGAAAATGGATATGTGGATATGGATATGTTTAGAAACGATGACGCCCACACCCATGTTCGCTACTTGATTGGTTCTTAGCAGTCACGACGTGTCCTTCCCTGATTCGTCACGCCCCTATCATGTGACCCTTACCTGGAAGATCACAAACAACAACATTGATTACCGATCAACTACCAGGTTAATTCAACATGGACAACTGATTACAGGTGTTGCTGACCTTGTTGTCTTTATTAGCAGCTGTTCAGTTAAAATCTGCATTATTACGGAGGAAGCAGCTGTTATTGGAGCGATTAGCGAGCGGCGTGACCAGCGGCGTTACCAGCCCTACGGAGCGGACGTCTGAAGTCACGGTTAGTGGCTTTAGGGAGGGTGATGGACACAAAACGGAGGACTTTTCTTATTAATGCTTATTTTGTTCTGCACATCTATTGTGAAGTACACAGATAAAATGTAAAAGGAACAAAAGCAGTAAATGCTATTCAGTAGGACAGATAGTTAAGCCACCAGCAGAGCTACGAGTGAGAACAGACACAATGAAACCGAGAGGAAACGAGTGAGAGACGTGTGTTGACCACATTTATGGACCCATAATCTAGTAAACGTTTACGTGTAAGTGTTGATTTTAAAGTAAATTTGATATGTGAGAGAGAGATAGAATAAGACCTGCAGCGTTGTAACTAATTCTGAAAAATAAAACTTTCCACGAACTGTGTTTGAGTTTATAGAGGAAGATTTTAGAGAAGATCTTAAGTATCAAACACGACCTTTTATTACCTCATTGTTAAAGACTACTTTATTACTCTGTCCTATTTTTAACTAAGCAACCAATCTACTTCCTGTTTACATCGACGCGCATGCCCATTGTACGTGAAGAGTCACGTGATATTCGTTAACGGAGATCAATTCGAAAACGATGCTGAAACGCCGTGTGGACGGAGATCGTTTTTGTTTGAAAACGTAGTAGTATGGATGTGGCCTAAACCTCAGAAACAAGTGAAAGACACAATTTCCCAGAAGCCAATGGGACGCTTTCAAATGTTTTTTTGTCTGACCAGGTGACCAAAACCCAAAGATGCAAAGTCTACAGTGATTTAGAACAAAGACAAACACCAAACGGTTGAATTTGATAAACTAGAACCAGGAAGGTTTTGTCAGAAATCATTGATCAGTTACACACAGAGTTTACACAATGATTACAATGACCCAGAACCGTTCTTCCACCATCACTCTGACAACCATCTCATCAGCTCATGCAAAATAAGGTTCTCAGTTTTTTCAGCAGAAGCTAACTAATGGATTTTGTGTTGCAGGGTGTTGCTGCGGGTGAGGATGCTATATTACCTGCGGCAGGAAGTCATCGGCGACCAGGCCGATCGCATCCTGGAAGGAGCTGACTCCAGGTCAGTGAACACTTCTCTTTAATCGTATCCTCCCTCGCTATGGATGACGACCACATGAGGCTGTTTCAGCTTTACCTTTCTCTCTTCACTTTGAGCATTTTGCTGCTCAAACTCACTCTGCAGCTCTTGTTGTTTACAACAAACTAATCTGACATCTGAAGATTTTAAAACAAGACGTTCTTGTTAGTGATCTGTTTTATTGTTAACATCACCGATCTTAAAAAAAAAAAAAAAAAAAAAAGAAAGATGGACAGAAAACAGAACTACCCTTTGGATTCTTTGTCCAGACCTTTAATTTCATAACCTGCTATTAGATCCAATCCCTAAAAGAGCACCTGATCCATCCTGTAGGTTTTTTCCTAGAAGACGACACACTAGTTGTTTACAGTTGACGGAAAGGCTTTCATGTATCGGATGCATCATGAGAGTGAGTTGAGAGATGGATATTTATATGAGCGTGTGATGAATTATTACTGGAGTGTATTTCTGCTTGTTCTATTGGCCTCTTTGGCTGGTTTCTTTCTATTCTGACGGATACAACACAGTGTCTTTATCTGGGGAAAAGCAGCTTTTTATCACAGTTTTGACCCATTTAGAGCGTTTTCTTTTCCCTCCACGCGTCAAGGAGACTTTTTGTCACTGGGCTCGAGGTTTCACAGTGATGCTGTCCATGTGGAGGTCTCACTCTGACGACTCAGTCACCGCTCCCTCCATCTTCTTCTCCGTCACGCAACACTTTTCTTGCCATCTGTTCATCTCTCTCCCCTTTCTCTCTGCAGTCCATTTTAGTCTCTCATCATCTTACTCCCCCTCCCATCACCCTTTCACCCAGATGTGACTGCATTTATAATGTGGAGCACGTGCACTTCATGTTGATCTATCCCCCCCTCCCTTTTCTCTCTTTCTCTATCTCCCCCCCCTCTCAATGGCTACTGTGACAAGCCCGTTTGTGTGTGTGTGTGTATGGCACGTGCGTGTGTCAGTGCATGCCAGACGTGAGCATACGGGGTGCCATCGTGCCAACATATGCCAGGGGGATTTAGCATGGCAGTCTTGGCGTGTGCGTTGCCAAGGCCGGGCATGCTGCTGTTTGCAGAGATAAGGGACTGTTTCCCTGGTTTCTTCTCCCCTCCTGTCACCCTCTGTCTCTCTGCTTCCATTGTTTATTGTACCCTTTCTCTCCAGAGCTAGCTGGAAACACCATTTTCTACCTTCTTTCCATAATGGAGGTTTCTTTCTCTTTTTTTTTTGGTGCCACAACATAAAATCCTCTCTGCAAAAAACAACCTCACTCATTATAATTATTGTCAGTTTGTCATTTACATGCATGTTGCTGACCAAATAAGTGGTTTTAGTTTTTGTTTTTTTTAAAGCGAGACCTCATAAGCTCGTAGTCTGAGTGTAGCTGCTATGTCATACATCTCAAGCTGCTGTCGAGTCAAGAAGCTTCTAGTCACTGTGTGTTCCTAAAGGCTGCGATGGAAACTGAATGTCAGTGCTCCACGGATTTAGCATTGCACACGTAACGTTGAGGACTCACAGTGGATGCAGAATCGATGCAGCAGAACCAGAGTCCTTCAGCTGGAGGTTGGGGTTGTGTTATGCTAGTAGTGGCTAACGTAGCCTGGAGCCTCCAGCGGAGAGGATGAGTATCCTACAGAGGTCTGGTGGGCTCAGGTCCTTCTGACTCCACACCTCCGCGGGACCGCATAAATTATCAATTGAAGACACCAGAGATATTACTGTTATCCATGAGACGCTCAGTTACAATATAGCTTCCCACCACCTGGTGGCGGTAATGCGTCAGTCAGTTGTTTAACAAGCTCCAATAAGCAGAAGATGACACTCAGCTAGCCTGCAGCAAAAGTTATGGATACGTTTTTAAAAAGAAAAAATGAAGACGACAGTGGTGCCATACCCCCGCAAAAGTCTAAATGTGTGCACAAGTACAATCCTGACTTTCTTAAGTACGGCTTTGTGAACGGAGGCAACGAGGCAGAGTCGAGGGCTCAGTGTGTGGAATGTGGGCTAATGCTATCAAACGAAGCACTGAAGCCTTCGAAACTAAAGCGACACCTGGCGACGAAACATCCAACGCTCGTGGGAAAGCCTGTTGGGCTTCTTGTTGTGTATGCAGGTTTACATACACATGATAAATAAATGTCTTTGTGATCATCGCATTGTATCATCTCATTTATTTGACAAGCGTTTTGCCTGTTCAACTCCGCGAGGACGCCGGCGTCCTCGATCCCCTCCCCTTCCGTTCCTACAGCTTGCTTGCGCAAACTACGTCACAAAACATGGCCGTGTTTGGTATCCCAGCATGCCCAAAATCCTCATCTTTGCAAAGAAATCATCGATTTTCTTTCATTTCTTATGGATTTTTCACAAAAGGAGCCCAAACACACACCGTCCAAAGTCGCCATAACCGCTGCAAGTCGGATCTTGCAGCATTTCGACGGAAAAAGACACATTACAGACACGACAATGTGCTAGCGGATGTTACCATGGTGCTAGTGGCATCAGAAAACACTAGTACTTATAGTACAAACCTTATCTTCCTCTTACATAAGCCGTCAACCAACGTATAACCTTGCGTAACTGAGCTACCCGCATACTCGATCGTGCGCTTGATCGCAGCCATTACGCACAGCAAGTCCGCTACTCACACACCACGTCTTCGACGATATATACACTGCTCAAAAAAATAAAGGGAACACTTAAACAACACAATGTAACTCCAAGTCAATCACACTTCTGTGAAATCAAACTGCCCACTTAGGAAGCAACACTGACAATCAATTTCACATGCTGTTGTGCAAATGGAATAGACAACAGGTGGAAATTATAGGCAATTAGCAAGACAGACACCCCCAATAAAGGAGTGGTTCTGCAGGTGGTGACCACAGACCACTTCTCAGTTCCTATGCTTTCTGGCTGAAGTTTTGGTCACTTTTGAATGCTGGCGGTGCTTTCACTCTAGTGGTAGCATGAGACGGAGTCTACAACCCACACAAGTGGCTCAGGTAGTGCAGCTCATCCAGGATGGCACATCAATGCGAGCTGTGGCAAGAAGGTTTGCGGTGTCTGTCAGCGTAGTGTCCAGAGCATGGAGGCGCTACCAGGAGACAGGCCAGTACATCAGGAGACGTGGAGGAGGCCGTAGGAGGGCAACAACCCAGCAGCAGGACCGCTACCTCCACCTTTGTGCAAGGAGGAACAGCAGGAGCACTGCCAGAGCCCTGCAAAATGACCTCCAGCAGGCCACAAATGTGCATGTGTCTGCTCAAACAGTCAGAAACAGACTCCATGAGGGTGGTATGAGGGCCCGACGTCCACAGGTGGGGGTTGTGCTTACAGCCCAACACCGGGCAGGACGTTTGGCATTTGACAGAGAACACCAAGATTGGCAACTTCGCCACTGGCGCCCTGTGCTCTTCACAGATGAAATCAGGTTCCACTGAGCACATGTGACAGACGTGACAGAGTCTGGAGACGCCATGGAGAACGTTCTGCTGCCTGCAACATCCTCCAGCATGACCGGTTTGGCGGTGGGTCAGTAATGGTGTGGGGTGGCATTTCTTTGGAGGGCCGCACAGCCCTCCATGTGCTCGCCAGAGGTAGCCTGACTGCCATTAGGTACCGAGATGAGATCCTCAGACCCCTTGTGAGACCATATGCCGGTGCGGTTGGCCCTGGGTTCCTCCTAATGCAAGACAATGCTAGACCTCATGTGGCTGGAGTGTGTCAGCAGTTCCTGCACGACGAAGGCATTGATGCTATGGACTGGCCCGCCCGTTCCCCAGACGTGAATCCAATTGAGCACATCCGGGACATCATGTCTCGCTCCATCCACCAACGCCACGTTGCACCACAGACTGTCCAGGAGTTGGCGGATGCTTTAGTCCAGGTCTGGGAGGAGATCCCTCAGGAGACCATCCGCCACCTCATCAGGAGCATGCCCAGGAGTTGTAGGGAGGTCATACAGGCACGTGGAGGCCACACACTACTGAGCCTCATTTGGACTTGTTTTAAGGACATTACATCAAAGTTGGATCAGCCTGTAGTGTGTTTTTCCACTTCAATTTTGAGTGTGACTCCAAATCCAGACCTCCATGGGTTAATAAATTTCATTTTCATTGATAATTTTTGTGTGATTTTGTTGTCAGCACATTCAACTATGTAAAGAACAAAGTATTTAATAAGACTATTTCATTCATTCAGATCTAGGATGTGTTGCTTAAGTGTTCCCTTTATTTTTTTGAGCAGTGTACATAGTTTTTGCAAAGGCTAAAAATAAAAGGAAAATAATATAATATCAAAATATAAAGGGAGAAACACCTTTAGTGTGTCAGAATATCATTTGGTTACCATGTGTCCATTTGCGTCTCCAAATATCCTTTTAGAGCTCCGCCTGGATCTCTTCATGAAAGAAACACTGTAGAATCGTCACTTTGTCCAATCTTCTTCAAATTTGAGGCAGTTGTTCACTGATAGTGTAGTTACAGCCCTATACTGTCCTTTACCTGTACAGATACAGCCACAGGCAGTTATTTATACTGAAATATACTTTTTTTTATTTTATGCGGACAAAAATCTTACTGACTCCAAAGGCCCACTACTCTGTTTCTGTATGACCTACAGGTTTTCTGACACTTTTGATGCATATAGTCACAGTGGTTCAGAAGCTACAGCCATTTTAATTTGGGTATGTCATTTTAGGCGGTTTTGCTCCAAAATAGGGGTGGAGTTGAACAGGTAACAATATAGTTATTGAATACAAATCAAACCAAGAGTGAGATCAATTAGTTAAACTAATAGTGTTAATATTTGAATGGGCCCCGGGACACTTTGTACTTGAAAAGTTGGGCCCCGAGGTCAAAAAGGTTAAGAACCCCTGCCTTAACTGGTCCCACAAACACTAAAGGGACCAAACTAACTCCAATGATAATACCACACACCTTTAGAGCAACCATGTTGGTCATCATTGTGAGCTTGTGGGTACAATATTAATACCAGAGGAGGGAGTCGGCCCTATACTGGATGTGCTATGGTGCAAAATGGACGTTTCTAATGATGATCTTTAGATGCGTGTCCAGGAAGATCAGTGCCCTAATTCTACTTACTGAAACTCCACATGGTGTAGAGGCTGTCCCACTTGTTTCCTCTCCATATGAACGTGGATAAAATGATCATACAGAGCTGCATGTAGCTTCTCTTAAATGAGTTATTGTGTTCAGATATTATGCGGGTCTGTAAAGTCTTAAATTCAATTGAAATGTCTAACTAAAAAGCTCTAGAATTGTCTCAAATATGATTTATAGGTATGAAAAATAATGAATAATCCAGAGGGTCATCTGCATTTATTTATTAAAAAGGGTTTTTCCACTGCGACCAGAATTTACTGGATCATATCCATAAAGTGCGTCACTGTCCGTGGTGACTATGATGCTCCCCTACCAGCTTATTAAGATTTAGATTTATTGGACAGAGGCTGTTGATACATGGTTGGAGCCCACATGGAGCCCGAAGCGTTAAAATTAGGGACATTAGGAAATCAAAGTGTCAGAATCACACATGACTTGTGAAAAACATGGAGCCTTGATGAACCGGATGCTGCGTATCCATACTTTGATATTTTTGACAGCACTCGTTCCAGAGCATGCTCCCTGATCATCACCAAGACTAACGTGTGAATATATTCATGTGCGTTAGTTGTCGGACTTCATACTAATTTCCCTTCATACTTCTGTCAGTGTGACCGTAAAATCCAGTATTATATTTCATTCTATGTGCTCTCAGAAAGCTCTCCCAGTCTTCAACCCTGTGTGTCCACAGAGCCATGCGTAGGGTTGGATGTTACTTACCTGGTCAATTGTAGTCCTGATTCTGCTGATTTAAATTGGGTTCTTATCACTTCCTGTTTCAGTTTCTTTTCACATCCTGTTTGGGGAGAAAACTAGATGGAACTCCAAAACACAGTTCTTATTTTGAGCAGATTTAGGCTGCTGCCAAGAGACGTTTGAACCTTGAGGGAGCTGAGGCAGTACTTCCTGTTTAGATCATTATTATTATTATTATTGCACACACACAGTATTTTTTGAGTCTCTGTGACGCCGTGTTTGTACATCTGCCACAGTGAGCTGGACGTCTGGATCCCCCAGCCGTTCCACGCCGAGGTCCCGGCCGACTGGTGGGACAGCGAGGCCGACAAATCCCTGCTCATCGGGGTCTTCAAGCACGGTAAGAAGACCGCACGCTGCAGATCCATGTCCACGGGAATGCAAAATGAAAATCGCACACACTTACAGATAATATGTTAGCACACACAGATAACATGTCAGCACCTATACACTCTCTCTCTCTCTCTCTCTCTCTCTCTCTCTCTCTCTCTCTCTCTCAGAGACTCGCTCCGGTGGTTTCCAACACGGCAAACATCACGCGAGGAGTCACGCACACATCACGTTCAAACTGGGCGAGGGCACACATGCATACACACCAACACATCCCACCCACTTCTGCTGCCACCGGTTGATTGGTGTTGCTATGGCGATAGCAGTACGCAGCTGGCAGGCTCAGTGTGCTATCGGGAGTGTGATTGATGGCTGGTTTCACCAGGAGCCCCCCAGAGAGAGAGAGAGAGTGTGTGTGTGTATGTGTCTCTGCTTTGGCAGGTAGTTACAGGTGTGTATGTCACAGATGAGGATAATAATAATACCAAACTAATTTCCCTTTTCTCCGTTTACCGACATTGGATTGTAGCGTTGGTCTCCCTATGACACACCTCTAGTTGCTGCCTGACTGTGTCTGCAAGCTGTGGAAGGAGACACTCATTCATATTAATTTGGCATAATTGTCATAATTTTATTATCATTGCCACCCTCTATGATTCAATTAGGACCCACACACACAGGGATACAAAAGGGCTCACTCATAGTTAATCATAATCCTCATTCACTTTGGAGGCCCTCGGGGTGGGGGGGGCTAACACACAAAATAATGCATGTCTCACACACACAGTAAA